TCAGAATGAGATAAAAACAAAATGAGATAGATAGATAGATAGATAGATAGATAGATAGATAGATAGATAGATAGATAGATAGATATGAAAAGACTTGGATAGATAGATAGATAGATATATAGATAGATAGATAGATAGATAGATAGATAGATAGATTTCAGAATATAAACAGATTTGAATGAGATAGATACATATATATATATATATATATATATATATAAATTTCAAAATGAAATAGATAGATAGATACATACCTATATGCATTTCAGAATGAGATAAGAACAAAATGAGATAGATAGATAGATAGATAGATAGATAGATAGATAGATAGATAGATAGATAGATAGATAGATAAAACTTATTGTAGAATGCGGAAAAATGGACTGAAGTACATTTCTTTAGATTGAATAAATTCACTGTGGTCACAAACAAAAACGCAATGTCTTCTGACCTTTTCCTACCTATTTCACGACACTCGCGCATGCGCTCCGAGGTCTTTGTCTTCTGTCGTCCTGCTTCCGCTCCGCGAAGAACCAGAAGCAAAAAGAAAAGCTTTTCTTCATAGACAAAACGACAAGAAAGTAACCGCACCCATTGTATCTCATTCTGCATTTTAACAACCAAACTGCGTCCATCCGTCTTGTAGGTACCCTCTCAAGATGACAGATTCGACCCCCATTTAAAGATTTATGTGTAGAGGGGTCGAGAAACGATTGCCGTCTTTTCTTCGAACCAAAAATCGTTTGTGTTTGGATGGCATTCAGTTTCTTTCAATGTTTGTATTCGCCTTGCAGCCCGGCGCTGCGAAATGTATTTCTTCTATGATGCGGTCGGAGAAGAGAACAATTTCGCTTTGAAAATTTCTGGTGAATTCTCACCATGTTATGCAACTATATAACACTGATACATACACATGCGAGTACACATGCATATATATATATATATATATATATATATATATATATATATTATTTTATAATAAAATAAATATGGACGAAATAAAACAGTACTCGATATAAATAATATATATGTGTGTGTGTGTGTGTGTGTGTGTGTGTGTGTGTGTGTGTGTGTGTGTGTGTGTGTGTGTTTTCATTAAATAATATAAATTTTGTCTATTTTAAGGAAGTTCCTTTCATATTGTCTGATAAGCTTAATCACATTATCGTTGAAAGACGAAAGGAAAACACCATATTGATACATGTTTAAATCCAATCTAAGCTTTCGGCTTACACAAGCCATTAGCAAAGATGAAAATTTCAATAAATCAAACAACACACGGTCGAAACAACAATGATAGTCCGCCCTTGCTGCATGAAAAATTTCAAAGTAACGACAAACTCGTATATACGAGACGCGGAAGCGAAAATCGCGTCGCAGCTCGTGACGTCAGACATGACCACGTGAGTGTGAAATCGAAAAGTATTAAGTATATGAAGCCGTTGGTAAAAACCAGTGGCTTCTATTATAAATTATGGACATTTAAGGATGCTTGTGTAGTTTTCATAGTTTATTTAGTTCAGGTTATGTTTCAACTGTTTTATGTAAATAGCTTCAATAATTTTTAATTTTTGTTTATTGTTTTCATGTTTAAGAAGAGTTGTGTTGTCAACAAATATTTTCTGGAATTGTGTACGACGGTAGGCATGTTGTTTTAAATGTCATTTAGGTAAGTTTGCTAAAGAGGAATTGACAAATAAACACACTTATTGTTAAAGACAAACACTAAAAACTAAAATTAGCATAAAAAATTAAAAGAAAAATTAAAAATAATCATTATATCCTTTTAAAAAAATTTTTTAACGTCGGATGTTTTTAAACTAATTTTAGTTTTTAGTGTTTGTTTTCACCAGCAAATATCTTCCTTTCTCACATCCTCTTCGACCAGTGCGCCCTGAAAATCCATTTAGGTGAAACCTAGGTAGGTAGTTTCTGGCTCACTGGGATTTTTTATACTCTGGTCTGCTTAGTTTATTGAGCACTTTACGTTTTATTTTACTCAATTGTTTCTTTTTTCTTTGGACTACAATTTACGATACTGAGCAATTTTTTCAGCCTACTCAGATGTTTTTAGTCTTTTCTTTCTTTTCCAAAATTTTCCACGGATGTCTTAATATATTTTTCATTTGCAAATTGTACTATCCGTGTTTTTTCCACTAGTCGAGTACAGACATTAACATAATATATATATATATATATATATATATATATATATATATATATATATATAGTCATCCATAGACAAGACTGTTTCGCTATATCACAGCTTATCAGTGTGGCTAGACATCTGGTAGCTACGAAATCTGAGTGATTTGGCATCGGAGATCGTACCCTTAAACTATCGGCACACAGCAGAGAAAGGAAAATTATAACGTATTATGTACGGGTGTATATAAACGCCAGCAGCCAGAGTGCTAAATTTATTAATGAATATCTGTATATATATATATATATATATATATATATATATATATATATTATGTCATACGCAGTTAGTACTGTTTCGCTGTATCACAGCTCCTCATTGCGACTAGACATCCGAATGCCTCAAGCCATGATTGAAAGCCAACCGATTTGGTGTCAGTCAGATTTTCTACCACTGAGCCATCTTCATTCGAGAGAATGAGCTTGCTAAATCTAGAAGCTTGTTTTTACGAATGTAAACAAAAGCCAATCAGCCATAGAGCTCGATTCATTTTACTGAAGAGCTTTGCATTAGCGCAGGTGGTTGTTGTTTATACAATTAGCTTGTCATTCAACAGTGCTCAATTGAAATATATTTTCAAGAGCTAAATTATACACACATATATATATATATATATATATATATATATATATATATATATATATATATATATATATATATATATATATATATATATATATATATATATATATATATATATATATATATATATACGTGTATGTGCAGTGGGCACAGGCGGAGGAGATTATCTTTTTATTTTTATTTTATCGTTTGGAGGATTAACATGAATGGAAATAGGATAAGAGGAAGCAGAATATGATTCATGTGTGTGTGTGTGTGTGTGTGTGTGTGTGTGCGTGCATGTTTTTAGCTCAGGGTGGGGAATCAATTCATTACCGAGTATGTCGCCAATTTACTTACCAGATCGAAACCGTTACTGTGTTTGCTTCCTTTTTTCATGGAAGAGCGTAGATTGCTGTTGAACCGGAAGTTATCCGTGATTGGACTAAAATTGCCAAGATGAGTCTCAGTGTGTGATTAGGAAAACGGAGAAAATTGTAGCTGATGGAAGGTACACATGTCGATACCCGATCAACATCGACTGGGTCACCGTGGCGAGTGGGTACGATGTTGAAAGACCCGAAACCCCTAATGAACCTCGGCTAGAAACATCACTGATTATGTGTATCAAAGCATCCAATAGATGTATTTTACGAATATATATATATATATATATATATATGCACACACACAGCGGAGGGAAATAAATATTCGTACACCATGAAATTTTTTAATGAAAATTTTTTTACGAAAAAAATTAAAATCCATACAATTTTTTACACCATTTCATATGCAAAAAACACCATTTTTCTAGGTCACTGCAATATGCAAAAAAAACAATTTGAAAACTTTATTAATGTAATTATGTGTTATTTATGAAATTTCGAGTCGAAAAAAGTATTCGTACAAAATATGTCTTTAATAACAAAAGGCTTAAATTACCTTTATTTACATAATTCTTTGTAAGATTTTGATAGATTCTTTCAATTATCTTATTACCGGAATAATCTAGAACATTCAGCAGTTCATTTCTTATATAAGGTTATCTCCGCATACAAATCATTCACAATAATTATCATCGTGAGAAAAGGCAAGGAACTATTAAATTCGCAAAAATTGAAAAGATGACAAAATCTATAGGAAAATAAAACACATCCTGAATATACCATTTACTATTCCGTTATTGTAAAGTATAAAAAGGTGAGACCTGTTAAGAACAAATCGAGATCTGGTGCACCACGCAAGATTTCTTCCAGATCAATGAGAAGAATTCAGCGCAAAATTCAAGAAAAAGGAAAGGGATATATATTGTTCGAAGGAGCAAAGTATTTGTTGTCTACTGTAACCGAGTAGGACAATCTAGCAGGTAACCATAATAGACTGGTCCTCGTCGTAGTGGTAGGCAATAGGCGTAGCCAACAGGCGTCGATTGTACCGCCACATCAGTCTGTATTTATGGCTGACACCAGCCAGTCATATTACTGTCAGGGGGGAACCCAGGTGTATGCATATTCATTACATGACTTATTTTAGAGAAAACGCGCTAACTAGATATATCCGCTAAAACATTTTGATGTGTTAATTAATCTATGATACTTTTCTATTTGATATGATTTTATTATATATCTATGAATTAATAAACTATGAAAAAAATATTGCCTTCCATTAAGAATATTACCGACATATCAAATAACTATTTATTGTGAGACCGGAACCTTCTACATAATAGACTCTTCTTTCTTGTATTAAGTATGCGACACAACACTACACAGAGAGTCAGAGAGACACAGAGAGACAGTGAGAGCCGCGTACGACTACCAGTATTGGACACTAACATATAGTAAGCTCCGCTTACACTATCTCTGTAACCTGTTGTTAATATATCTTTCTTACATCTAATCCGTGTTCCGTGTTTTACTTCTGTGGTCCCGACTTTGGCCCCACATCACTATTGTAAACAATTGTTATCAGCAGTTACCTATTTTGTGTTTGATTATCTATTCTGCTAACTGGCTGAATTTGCAATCTTGTTTCGAATAAGAGGTTTTTACGCTGAGTAATACATGTACTTGTGTATAATACGACCCCGCATTTTGATCTTTAACTTTCGTTCTAATTTTATCGCATTATACGCAAAAATTATGGTAAATTTCCAGAGACAAATATGCAATGTGATAGGTCCTGATCTGGCATCTCGTCTACATTCACTTTCTCACAGACGTACCGTGGCTTCCCTCTGTCCTTTCTATAAGTATTTTACGGCAACTGTTCGAACAGGTTGCTTTCTCTGGTTGCCAGACTGCATGAATTTAAGCGTGCTTCTTGGTTGGTGTCTCGGTCCCCCACTTTCACTGTCGAAACGGTTAAATGTAACCGTCTCTTCTACTCAAACAGTTTCTTCTCTCGCACTTCTCGTCTGTTGAATTCTCTTCCTCTTACTTGCTTCCCTCGTAACTATAATCTTCAAATATTCAAGTGTAATGACAATCGACATCTTCTGATACCTTGGTCTTTTTCCCCGTCCTTTTTTTTTTCCTCTCCCCCAAACACGCCTCTTTACACTTGTTCTCTGTCCTCTGTAACCCCTTGCATGCTAGTGGCACTCCCGCCTTGCTTGGGTTAACGGGATTTAAAAACCATGTATTTACTTTTAATTTCATCTGGATATCCATATTTTTTAGGTGAATGCGGCGGAAAATTGTAATGCAGAAAGTTCGTCATCGTTTTAGCTGCTTTCTTGAACCAACTTGTATGCCTTCACACTGTCAAATTTTCTTAGATGAATGTGGTGAAAAATTGTGGTGCAGAATGTTCGTCATTGTTTTAGCTGCTTTCTTGAACCAAG